ATCCAACACCTCTGATGAAGTCCTCCTGACACACCTATCAGCCCCACCTATTCCCCCCAATCCAACCAATTACATCATGGCTACACAACAACATCACACTTCTCTCTCACACAAAAATCAGCACAACTCCCAACAGCCGCAGAGCATCAGACCGAACAAAACGGAGGGCTTAATATTCCGCATCAGCAGATCAGACAAAGGATTTGCAAGACAACCGCCCAGGCAGGTGGGCAGCAGCAGCAGCCAGCAAACATCCATTTTCTTCGTGATATCATCTGCCCCTTCATAAGTAGAACAAGACTGCAAAATCAATATGTGAAATGATGCCCTGATTTCTTGCACACGAGTCACTCCAGAAGGGTTGCGCCTGCTCTTCTTTCCACAGCAGAAACTCAACCAAGTTCCCCAAATCTCAAAAGGTCCAGGCACAAAGATCAGACAGCAACGCGCATGTGGAGCCCATCCCAAACCCACAAACCCCCACCATCAACAAGTCAAGGATCCAACGCGTCGCGACCATGGCATGGATCAACACAAGAGAGGCGCGCCAGGAATTGCAAAGTTAAGAAGAGCAGCCACGGTCACGAAGCAAATGGCACAGCAAAAAGTGATTTGTAATGTTGTTTGGTATTCCGCTTTCACATCAAAGAGATGCTACTAACTCAATCTCCCCCCTTCTCCTCGTCCCATATGGTACACCATCGCCGCCACCGCCCATCATAAAAAACGCGAGGAAAAAAATAAAATCCCAATTGTCCCAGAGTATTTGCCCCAAATGTGTAAAACAGGAAAAAAACGCAGCGCCCAGTAATAAGTGATAAGAACCCGTCATGAAATGCAAATCGTAAACGACTTCCCAGTGATTGTTTAACCACCGAAACCGTAGAGGGTGCGGCCTTGTCTCTTGAGGGCGTAGACAACGTCGAGGGATGTGACGGTCTTGCGCTTGGCGTGCTCGGTGTAGGTGACGGCGTCACGGATGACGCCCTCGAGGAAGGACTTGAGGACGCCGCGGGTCTCCTCGTAGATCATGGCCGAGATACGCTTCACACCGCCACGACGGGCGAGACGGCGGATGGCGGGCTTGGTGATGCCCTGGATGTTGTCGCGAAGAATCTTTCTGTGGCGCTTGGCACCGCCCTTTCCGAGGCCCTTGCCGCCTTTGCCGCCTGTGTTGGGGAAGGTTAGTATTGCTGGTCGAGATGGTGATGATGATGATGATGATGATGATGGGGATGGGGATGGCAACTTACGTCCAGTCATGATGACGGGTTGTGTTGGTGAAGATGTGAAAGTGGGTAAAGGTCTTGGGAAGATTGGTGAGGCTGAAGACGCGACACCAAAAAGTTGTGAAGTTGGGTGGGAGAAAGAGGTTGTGATGGATTGAGTGGTGGGAAGGTGAAAACGTGGGGAAGAGGGCGGGCTTTAAGTAAGGCAAGGCGGGAGCGGCATGCACGGCTTTGGGTGCGCGTGGAATCAATCCAATCAGGATCAGTGATCTGATTTTCTGGGTAGGCTTATTTTTTTTTGGGCAGCAGGGAGAGAGACATGGGTCAAGGTCCGATTTGATTTTTGGCTTGGCCTGATTTTTTGGGGAACACCCGACGCGCCTGCCCTGTGGATTCCTAGAGGTAGACACGGACCCTTGTGAGGTGTTTGGACTGCGTGTTTGACCCCGCCTTGAAACTGTTTCTCGACTGATGGCTGGGAGGAAGACGCGTCTCGATTTTCGAGAGCTTGCAGAGAAGGGGAAGCACCTGTTTTTCTCTGGCGCTAGTCCAGATTTGATTTTTTGTCTTTTGGATCTCCCCAGGATACGTACCGGCAGGAGGGGCAGAACCACCTTATCAGCCATCGATCCGATGCGGCCCGCATCCCAAGTCTGCTCCCCCCGAGGTGATTGCCTCGATGCCAGAGGCTTCCACCCGTTCCATCCCCAGATCACGAAGCGGATGCCGTCGTATTTTTCCGAGACTCGCTGCACACTTGGCACCGGCAGTACGTAATGACATGTGGATGTAGATGGGCCTGTGACTTGAGACGACTCCTCACTCTGCTGAGCCCTGCCAGGCAAATGCCGGTACCAGATAGGGACCTGACTTCTCTCGAGGTGTCTCGGTTGTATTCACTTTCCCTGATGACCGAGGGTCTAGATACGGGGTTGCCACCCGGTCCTTTCCTTCCGTGGACATTGAGGCTCGTGATGACTCCTATCATGATATTAGTTGCCTGGTTTTGCTCTCTGAAGGAAGGCTCGAGAAGCCTCGTGATGCCACCGTAATCTTGGATAACGAATTGTCTGTTATTCACTTTGATGCCAGATACCTATCAAGTCCTCTCTCTATTCACTGCCCAGGCCTAAGCTCTTGCCAAAAACAGAGCTGCAAACCTTTCCCAGACCCTCTCTCTTTGTCTGAACGTTTCAAGGCAGCCACAGTCACAGCTCTGCAGATCCATAGTCTCAACTGCATTCACTTGACAACAGTCACAAATTATTGATGTTAGGCATCAGCCGCCTTTCTCCTGTCAAAATCCATCCACAGACGGGGCAACCAACAATCAATTCGGCAGTCATCTCAGATCTGTGATATCAAATCCAGCCTTACCAGCAGCGGATCTCTTTGTGGCAAGGTACGTACCAGTCCCCGCGCTGCGTGGTTGGTTTCCAAGCGAGTGAATGCGGCAACGTCTAGTGCAAGGATCCCACCGGTGGCCATTGCGCCTTGGTGGCAGGTTTTTGGGCCAATAGAAATTCAGCACCAACAGCGTCAGCATTTTTGTTGCCAAATCCCCCCCAAAATCAGGCGTGTTTTCGCTTGCCAGAACTGACCCCATTTTCCCTTGCAACAGACCCCGGTTTTGGCCGCTGCGCATCACAAAAAAGAGCAGGCACAATCGAGCTGATCAACCCAAATCAGCCGCCAACGTGACCTGCAGCCCGCGCCTACTTAAACCTCGCACCCCCCACCTCCCTCTTCCACCTTTCAACTCACAACTCACTCACTCCACACCCCGCCCATCAATCCATCATCCACATCGCATCTTTGCGACTTTTCCATCAAACTCCATCAACTTTTCCCATCAACAAACAACACATCACAACAAAGTCGCAATGGCCCGCACCAAGCAGACCGCCCGCAAGTCCACCGGTGGCAAGGCTCCCCGCAAGCAGCTCGCCTCCAAGGCTGCCCGCAAGAGCGCCCCCTCCACTGGCGGTGTCAAGAAGCCTCACGTATGTTTTTCTCCTTCGACTTGATCGTCACCATCATCATCATCACCATCACACATCATGCTAACCATCATCGCCCTACAGAGATATAAGCCCGGTACCGTCGCTCTCCGTGAGATTCGTCGCTACCAGAAGTCGACTGAGCTTCTCATCCGCAAGCTCCCCTTCCAGCGTCTCGTTCGCGAGATTGCCCAGGACTTCAAGTCCGACCTCCGCTTCCAGTCTTCCGCCATTGGTGCTCTCCAGGAGTCCGTCGAGTCTTACCTCGTCTCCCTCTTTGAGGACACCAACCTGTGCGCTATCCACGCCAAGCGCGTCACCATCCAGAGCAAGGACATCCAGCTTGCCCGCCGCCTCCGTGGTGAGCGCAACTAAGCGTTTTCCCCACCATGGGGTTCTGCTACTGCTAGCTTTGGGGTTTGGGGGTCGGGTTTATGACTATTTTTCACACTGGGAATGCTTTGATTGACGAAGGGAATCATCATGGCAGCAATTAACGGGGGACACAACGGCGTTCGTGCTTGGGTTTTTTTTATTCACTGCGGTGGTTTTCTTTACTCGGGATTGATTTGTACATTACCCCGCGCGCGCGAGTTCTTGCATCTGCCCACGGGCTTTGGCGAGAATGGAGATGGATGGGCATAATAAACTACGCCTGAAAAAACTACACACAGTGGCTGAAGAGCCAGCGTTGATTTCACTCTCTTGCTTTGACCTTGTGTGACTCTGACTGCGGTGGCAACACTTTTTCTTTCTTCTTCTTTGACGTGACGCGTCTTTTAGTGTTGGGTTTCTGGTCCCCCGCGACGCGAGGTCAAAACATGAATTCCAGATGCCGTGTTTACTCCACATCGCGTTGAGGCGTGTTATCCCTGCCCTTGTCACGGATAGAGGTTGTGGTGGGTCATCGGATGGGGGAGAGCCATGATGGATGCTGACAGCGGCGAAGGGACTGTGTTGCTTTGGCCGGACAGGACGCGGGTGTGGGATTGGATGTGAGATTGTGGTGTGATTTTTGCTCGAGACTCTGGCACGGTTTGGAAGAGAGATAGTATGTGGAGTTTGAAGGGTGAAGTCATCAAGGATGGGGGGCGGTGATGGTCATGATGGAGATGATGCTTGCATGTGAAGAGAGATTTCACTTGTAGTAGGAGATGGAGCAGTAGACAAGTGGCCAGATTTGGACAGATTTAAGGAAGTCCATGGTATTCGGAGTGTGGACTACTGAGGTCAGTTTTCCGTGTAGAGTCGTAAGGTGCTGATCTTGAGTGTTATCTCGATGATCTTTAGAGGTGGACGGTGTCAGAGCTGTGGTGGTGTCTCGGATAAGAGACATGATATGGCTTGGGGCAGAGTACATGATTTTCAGATCTGGAATGGTTGCATATTGCGAGGAGAGGGCCGACGATTGGCGGCGGCCGTGCTGATGGGTGTGGGCTGGTGGTGGTTGGCTGGGTCTTCTCTTCTGGCAGAGACTACATGCATACAAGTTTGCGATATCATCTTGGGGTTGCATTTCCTTAGGGGGGGGGGGGGGGGTTGTTTATGGTGGTTAATGTTAGAGCAGCTGGTAGAGGGGGCACAGTACGAGTTGGTTGGGTGAGTTGGTCGGGATGGTAGTGACGTTATGAGACTGAAATCATGGTGATGTGATGTACGTGAGAACCACACACACACGCACGTTTGAGGCTGGTCTCAAAACAATCCATGATTTCACCATCAACAACAGCTCAAATTCACCAACAAGTGTTTGACACTCTGAACAATAC